TCCCAGCGGCCGTCCACCTGGACCTTTGCAGCCAGTTCTGCTGGTCCTGCCTTCTGCCTTTCCCCGAGGAGGGCAGGGTCCCCCTCCTCTGAATCGTGCCCCGTCTCTCTAGCCCCTCTTCTTGTGACAGCTCTGAGAACACGTGCAGGCATTTGACCACATTCCCCTTCAAGGCCTCTCGTATCTGGACCAAACCCCATCTTGCTGCACTTCCCGTGTGCCGGGCACGGCGCTGGGCTCTCGGGTGCCAGGTGGGGTGCAACGATGAACAAAAGTGGATGGGATGAGGCCTTCCTGGAGCAGCAGGTCTGATGGCTTCCTCCCCTTCCCTCCTGTGGGCTGGCTTCAGGTCCCTCACCATCTGGCAGGCTGCCCAGGACGACCCTCTGGGAGTGCGGTCCCAGCACTGAACTCCTCTCTTGAGCCCAGAGCAGACCAAGGTGGCAGCTCCCTCACCCTGGCACCAGGACTGCTGCACTGTCCCTTACAATGCCACCCCTCCTCCTTTCTAAACAGTCAAGTCACACTGTCGACTTGTTCAACTACAGACCAGTCTTTTTTCATGTCTTCTGCTGTTATTCCAGCATGAACATCTCTTTCATTCCATCTAACGCAGTTGGTGTTTTGGACTTAAAGTACAGGACTTAGCATTGACCTTTAGTAAATTCCATCTGTTAAATTTAGCCGGTGACTCCAGCTTTTTGAGATCTTTATTGGTCTTCTGTTACCCAGTTTGTAGACTGTCCTCATCAGCCACATACTGGATAAGCCCACTATGCATGTCTTCATTAGAGTAATTGATGGTGCCCTGGGCACCCTCCAGAGAGGTCACTTGAGGTCAACATCAATTTATTAATCAGCTTCTTGAACGTCTAGTCCAGCCAGTTATGGATTCTCCTACCCTTAACATTGTCCAGCTGTATTTATCCATCTTGTCCATATGGGTAACATGGGAAACTTGTCAAGTGCTTTGCTAAAATCCATGTTCTTCTCAGCCTACCATAATCTTCGCTATATTAGATTTTTTAAATAAGTGGAACTTGGTTGGCATATCATCTGTTTAGCAGACTCTCACTGGCTCCTGGGGACTCCGGCTCCCCTTTCCAGGGACTCGGGGCGTGTCACCATGGCGACTGTTCCTCTTGAGCCAGCTCCCATTCAGGAGCTTCAGCCCCTGGGATCCTATGGACTCTCTTTTCTTCCAAGATTGTTAAAGTCTGCTGTCTAGAATACAAGGAGCATCCGGCTGTGCCTGTCTTTCTGTCCTGAACTCTAAGATAAAGTGGTAACTTACCCCCAAGTTCGCATCTCTCTCCCTTCCCAGCTCCCCTTGAGGTCGGATTAGGTCCGAGTGGATCTCCACGCCGTCTCCTCTGCTGCTAAACCCTGTCAGGAGGGCATAAGCCCCACAGTCCGGAGGGCCACCCTCACTGCTGCCTCTTGCTTCGCAGACAGTCTTGGGAAGGCGTCTTCCCTTTGTTCTCTCCAAATGTCCCCAGGCTGGAGCCCCGTTACGGGGGATGCTGAGCGCCCCAGGAACCCCCTGTGCTGGGACAGGAATGCAGAGGTGACTCACACGTGGATGGCCAGAGCCCTCAGCCGAGAGAGGAGATGCGGCCCTGGCTAGGCACCCAGCGGGCCACTCTGAGCGGATGCCAGAGGGATGGCGGTGGTGGATGTAGGGTAAAGGGGAGGGGCCTCCTGTGCGAAGGGGCCGTGAGCACCCCACCTTGGAAATCCTCCTGTCTCTTCCCTTTGTATGCAGGCTTGACTGCCAGCCTCACTCTGGGCAGGGGTCACCAGCCTTCCTCACTTTCGCCCGGTGCTCCCCAGGTCTCTCATTTCCTGGGGTAGTCGGGCCTTTGCAGGTCACTTACCACCTTGTCAGAACACCAGTTCTCTGAACATGTGTTGACATTTGGATGGAAACAGCTGTCACCAGGGAGAACGGAGATCTTCACCATATCTTACCAGAAACCCCCGACACTAAGGAGGTCTTTAAACACCAAAGGCAGAAAGCTTAGTGAATGAACGAGCGCGGTTCTCCGCTTAGCGATGTGGCCAAAGATACGCTCACTGGAAACTGCTCTCCAGCGTTGGGTCAGATTGCTTCCCGAGCGCAGGAAGGGAGCTCTGCCCTGGGCCCTGACGTCTGTCTCCTGGGCAGAGAGAAGCTGGGAAAGAGCTGCGTGTGTGCAGACACGTGTGCAGAGAGCAGAGAGTGACATGGCCAGGGCGGGTGACAACGGGGGGCTTTGAGAATCTGGAGAAGAGGTAAAGTAGGCTGTGGCTTCTAGCGCCTGACTTGGGGTGGTCAGGATGGAGGCGGTGCCTTAACGGTGAGGGGGACGGCCAAGGCAAGAGTGGCTTTGAAAAGACCATGATGGGTCTGATGGGGCTGTTTGCACACAAGCCCACCTTCTGGCCCGTAGGTCTGATGGGAAGGAGCTGGTAGAAGGGCCAGCTAGACACCTGGGGAGGGACTGGTAATGTCGTCAAAACCGTGAAAGGCCCTGGTGTGGAAGATGGAGGTTTGCTCTCAGAAATTTCATGTATACCTCATGGAAGGGCCAAAGACTGGAGTCACTGCTTGGCACCTGTGTGCGCTCTGACCCCCAATCTGTGAGTGATCAGAAATGCTGTCAGTGCTGCATGCTCTCCTGCCTCCATGGCTTTTGAAAGGGGGCTGGGGTCAGAGTGCCGCATGGGGTGAGCCTTGACTCCCAGCCACGTTGAGTGCACGGTGGCAACTTCTGGGAAGGGAGCTTGGCCTCTCCTTGGGTCCTGGGTGGGCCTGGTCCTGCTCTTTCTAGAAGGCGTCGTGGCCTTTCAGGGATCATCTGCTCAGGGATGGGTTTTCCCAGCTGTAAGTGAGCATAGGTGCTCAGATTTCATTAGTATATTTGTGTGTGTGCTGTACTGCGTTAAGGTTACTGTGGGCTTTCCCCTGCCTTTCTGGGGAGCTGTCACACTGTCCCCAGTGCTTAGCTGGGCCTCTTCCAGGCAGTGAGGGCAGGTCGCAGGGCCTCCGTGATGTGAGGTCTCTGAGCACAGACGTCTCTGTCGGAGCCCTGTGGCCAAGCAGGCTTCCCAGGAAAGGAGGAGGTTTCCAGTGCAGCAGCTGCGGCCAGCTGTGCTATTGCTTTTTCCTCAAACTTACCAGAGAAGGTTCCATTTTTATCTTCCCAGAAATTGTGAATGTAGCTTTAAATGAGACGTGGCTCATCTTGCTGATCAGAGAGGCTTTGTCCCAGATTTCTTTCTCTTATTTCCTTTTCTTCTTTCTGCTTCTGTGACTCTTATTTCTTAGGACTGAAAAAAAATTGTCCGCCATTTGTGTACCAGAGAGGGCCCCATCTTAGAGGTCGGGGGAGGCAGAGATGATCGCTTCCCAGGGAACTCATCACTCCGTTTCTTCCTGTGACCACAAGTTACCAGAAAACCACTGCCCTCGGCGTGACGCTCCACGCCACGCCAGTGGCTGGGACCTGGGAGGCCTGGTTTGGCCTCTGCTCAGACCTGAGGGCGAAGCCGGGCCCCAGGAGAAGCCTCCGCCCGCCCCACGGCCCGCGGCTGCCTGGCCTTCACGCTGCCGGGTACCGGTGTCACACTCGGTCCCGTGCGACCTGCTCCAGTGTGCCGAGGTTTCCACACTGACGGCATTATTGCGCTCCTCCCGGGAGAGGGCGCGCTCGGGGAGGCAGCTCCCGGTCGTGATTTGACAGCGATGACCTGGGGACTCGGTGGGCGCGGGGCTGTGGGAAAGGAACTGACCCGCTGAACACACACCCCCGCCCCGTTTTCCTTTGCTGGGGACCCATTCCCGCCCCTTCTGTGTCCTGTTAACACTGAGGAGACAGGGGAGCCGCGATTCAGCCCAGGAAAGCGGACCAGGAGCCGGCGATGGTGGCCGCGCAGCCCCGCCTGCAGAGCACCTGGGCGCCGGGGGCGGAGCCTCACACACAGCCCGCTCACACCTACTCCTCCGCAGGCCGCGCCGTTTTTTGTTTATTGGTTTTTGGTTTTTTTTTTGCGGTACGCGGGCCTCCCGCTGCTGTGGCCCCTCCCGTCGCGGAGCACAGGCTCCGGACGCGCAGGCTCAGCGGCCATGGCTCACGGGCCCAGCCGCTCCGCGGCATGTGGGATCTTCCCGGACCTGGGCACGAACCCGCGTCCCCTGCATCGGCAGGCGGACCCCCCCCAACCACTGCGCCACCAGGGAAGCCCGCGCCGTCTGACTTTTAAACTCAAGCTCACCCAAAGCCGTGGCCAGGGTCCAAACCCCTCTTTCCCCCAACCTGGACCTTTACCGGGAGCCTGACAGCCTGGCTGTGATCAGGCTCAGCTGGAAGGACATTTCAGGAACACGCTTACTGCCCACCTCCTCGCCGAGCCCGACCTTGTCCCCTCAGCCCTCGTGCGCCTCTGTCCTGCCACCAGCCCTTCGGTGGCTCCCACCGCTTACAGGCTGGGCCCCCGTTGGGCTCTGGACCCTTCCCTGCTCTCACAGCTCGTCTGCACTTCGGTGGGGCGTCTGCCTTGCTCACCAGGTGTGTGTCCTTCCCGGGAGCAGGAAT